TGACCTTCAATCTTTCCCAGCATCAGGGTCTTCTCCAGTGAGTGCTCCCTTCTCATTTGGTGGCCAAAGTATTTGAGCTTCGGTTTCATTATCTGGCCTTCCAGGGAACAGTCAGGGTTGATTTTTTTTAGGATTGACTGATTTGATCTTCTTGCAGTCCAAGGGACTCTCAAGAGTCTTCTCCAGCCACCATAGTTCAAAATAATCTATTCTTCGGCGCTCGGCCTTCCTTATAGTCCAACTCTCGCAGCCATACATGACTACTGGGAATACCATTGCTTTGACCATGCGGACTTTTGTTGGCAGGGTGATATCTCTACTTTTTATCATGCTGTTTAGCTCTACTATTAAGTCACGGTCTCTCCTCGAAGTGGCCGCAGCCTGCCTATTTTACTGTATAACTGAGTTTGGTGAAGTCGAAAGGGAAACAAAGGAGGAGGAAGTGGTCCAGACAGGGAGGAAAATATGAATGAAATCCCTGATTAAGAATTGCCCTTGCATGCTGTTTATTTTATTTACTTAGGACAATGTCTAATATATCATGGAGGGAACAGCCCTCCTCAGCTATTTGCCTCCAGGAGAGAGAGGGGGGGGGTGGCACCACAGTAGAGCATCTGCTTTGCCAAGTCCCAGGTTCAGTCCCCGGCATCTCCAGTGAAAGGGATCAGGTGGAAGATGTCGTTCTACTGGACAGCCACTGCCAGTAGAAACAGATAATGCTGACTGATGGACCAATAAGGAAACTTCACGTGCTCCTATGCGTACAAGGAAGCTTCATTTAGCAGTCACAGCCAATGGCCACTGACAGAGCAACCCTCCTCCATGAGTCAGTAATTTAAAAGAACACAAAAGGATTAGGCAGTCTAAATTACAGGCCACTGCCAGACATTATTTTAAGCCGCATGAAGAGAGGAATTGGGGTTATTCTGGCTTATTAAATAGAATCAACGGACACTGGATGATGGCTTCAGGCACTTCCTGCACGGAAAAGGGAGGCCTGAAAGTATCCAGGCTTCCATTTCCTCTTTTTCTGCTGCTTTCAATGCCCAAAAATCTCCCCCCTAGAAAAGGACTGGAGACAGAGAGAGACACTGTGCTTGCTTGTCCAATAGATCCCTATTTTCTCCATCCCCCCCCCCCAAAAAAAAGAAAGCCAGATTCCCAGCATCTGTCTTGTTCTTTCATGGGTAGAAGTTGTTCTTCCATGGGTAGAAGAATTCATGACTTCTGTCAGGAAGGGGAGGGGAATAGAAGATGTAATGATGAGTAGCCACATGATGGGCTATTTCCCCCCAAATATATATACACAAACAGAGATCTGGAAATTCCAAGTGTTGGTTTAGTTAAATATCAGGGAAGGAAACACTTGGGAGAGTCTCTCATTTAACAGGAGGAAAATGGCAGCCCCGCCTTTGTTGATTTAGTTACCCTCTTGCATCTCTCTGATGTGAACCCTTCTGCTCACCAGAGAGTCTTCTCGGAAAGAGCAGCTTCCACTCGGGCACAGCTGAACCAAAACCGTAAAAGGAAAACAGTGCAAGGTGCTGACAGAAAAGGTTTTCCCTTTGATTGACTGTATTTGCTTGTCCCATCTGAAGCTAAGACAGATTTCAGACTGTAGATGGAAGAGTTTAAGAGCTGTGAGTGGTGCGGGGGGTGGGATGCTTTGCTCTCTGTATTCATGTACTTCTGTTCCACTGTCATCTTTTGTCAAGCAGTTTGTCTCTTGAAAAGCCTGCAAACCCTGTTTATCAGAAACAGTTGTGGGATACACATATGCTGAACCATCTTCATCTTCTTGAAAAACTATCACCCATTTTTTTTCTTCCAGCCAAGCTAACTGAGTCATGGAATGCTATATTTTTTTCCTCTCCTTACATATAAAAAAGAAATAAAAGGAGAAGTTGCCAGTCTGAGCACAACTGCTTCACCCTTTCCCCTCCAATCATTCTGCAGCACCAGATCACACTGTTATTCCTTACTATAGGAAGAAACATAGGGAGACCCCCATATCTTCCCTCCGAAACAGGGCCGTAGCCAGATGTGGGGCATTAAGGGCATTGCCTCTTCTCAAATTAGGGATGCCCCTACCCTCAGCCTGCTGGTCCCCCCTCCCCTCCCCCCCAGAGTGGGGGAGCCTGGGGCAACTTTGGGGCAACCAGTGTTGACCATGCGGTTCCTCCCCCGTGCCCGCTCCCTCTGTGCCTCCCCTCTCTTCCCCCCGCCTGCCAGCTGAGCAGAGAGGGGGTTTAAACTTTAACCCCCCTCTCTGGAGTTGCACCACACTCAATCACCTGCCCCCTAAGACATTTAAATTCCCCCCAAAGGGAAAAAACCCTGGCTACAGGCCTGCCCTGAAACTGAGAGCAGGTGGGGGGGGGAGGGGTCAGTGATTCTGAGCGGGAACATGACCAAGGGGGAAAAGAGTAAGTAGTCCACTGCTCTGCCACTCTTGACTGGATTTTTCAGATTTGTCAAAGCCCTATAAACCATTTAAGGAAAGACGCATCCCATCTATTTTGGCATTCAGCTGTTGTCCAGAGGGTAGGGGCAGTGAAACAAGAGAGTCTGGATGCAACTGCAGAGGAAAGAAGTTTCCTAACCAGTGACCACTGCCGGAGCCAACCAACTTCGGTGTCTTAGCTAGAGAAGGAAGGGATATGAAACAACAGTCCAGGGACCCAGAAGCTGTGATGTTTTGAATTTGTGGGACAGAGAATACAATAAGCTCTCAGGGCATAGCAGTCCCACACACACACAGGGCCCAGGGGAGCAATACTCCCTTACCATATCAAGGACTTACCTTATCAAGGTCATAGAGAAAGCCCTAGAGGAGAAAAGAGGAGAAAGTTCAGGGCAAAGTTCAGAAACAAGAAATGACCACTGAGCATACAATGCCATCAGTGACAACGCTAATCCCTGTTGCTATGTTCCAATCCCCCCAAGGCCAAGACAACTGATGCCCATAGCAGCAAAGGATACCTAGGTTCAAGGAAAGGGGGTGGAAAGAGAGAGAGGACACCCAGCACATGGAACACCGACACAGTCCCAAGCAAGCTTCTGCCAGATCAGAGGTGCTGCAAAAATGAGGGACAGAGCAGGGGTATGGCTAAGACGCGTGGCCCAAGCATGAGTCACGTGTGAAATCAGAAGGCTCCCAGACTGCTTCTCCACCGTCACCAGTTCTAAATTGTGGGGTGCACCCAGTGTAGGTGGGGAACATTTTCAGTTGGCAGCCACTCACCAGACGAGAATTCCTCTTGGATTCACGGATCTGGGTGCTCAGTTTCTCCAGCTCGAGCTGGTGCACCTCCACGTAAGCACTGTAAGGGAGAAGCCGGGGTGAGCAGGAGGAGCAAAGAGTTTCCCACAAACTTCAGAGATTAGGACAGCCAACATCCTGGCCACCCATTCAGCCGCCTCGGATCTTGCAAGAAATTATCCTTGGCAGAAAAGCCCAGAAAGACAGGACACCCCCCCCCACTTCCCTTGGCTTCCCAACAGGCTATGTTAGCACAGCTATTTATGCCCAGCAGTGCTTCTGGGTTATGATCATTTTTTGAGCAAGCCACCCATTCAGCTGCCTCTAATCCTTGCAAGAAATTATCCTGGGCAACATTAGCCCAGGAAGAGCTCCCCTTGTCTTGACTTCCCTATGGGCTATGCTAACACAGCTATCTGTATTGAACAGAGCTTGTGGGTTACAGGGTTTTCTGAGAAAGCCACCAGATCACCTCTAATCCTTGCAAGAAATTATCCTTGGCCACAAAGCCCAGAAAGAACCCCCAACAGGCTATGCTAGCACAGCCATCTATGCCCAGCAGAGCTTCTGGGTTACAGGAGTGTCTGAGGGAGCCACCCATTCAGCTACCTCTAATCCAAGGGTGTCAGACATAAGGCCCAGGGGCCGGAACCGGCCCGTCCAGGAATCTTACCCAGCCCGCAATCAACTGGTATGTATGGAAATGTAAGGTACTCTCTTTCAGTCTTGCATATGATTAAATACATATATTGGGGCTTTTCTGGGTCCCCCAGTAAATCAATTGCTTTCACGGCTAGGAATCAATGGCTTTTGTTTGTGTTTTGAGTTAAAAAAATTAGTATTGTTAATTGGGCTTGCCTGTGTCCTTTATAAAGTGTACATCTCCGGTACCTGGTGTTACTTTTATGATACACATGGCCCAGACCGACAAAGTGACTTTTATGTCAGATCCGGCTCTCGTAACAAAAGAGTTTGACACCCCTGCTCCAATCCTTGCAAGAAATTATCCTTGGCAACAAAGCCCAGGAAGACGTCTCCTTGTCTTGCCTTCCCAATAGGCTTCGCTACCACAGCTTAGGGTTGCCAAGTTGATCTTCGCCGGGAGTGGGGGGCTCCCGGCTGGCATCTGGTGCGCGCGCCGCATGCACATCACCCAAAAGTGACGGGAGGACGCCAGGCATGCTGGGGGCGGGGCCACGGCCATACAAGGGAAAACCATAGAGTTTTCCCTTGGATGGCCATGGCCCTGCCCCCAGCGTGCCCGGCGTAGTCGCGTCACTTCCGGGTGACGCGCATGTCGGGGTGGAGTTCCCCCCCGGGGCCCGATCCGGCGGTGCCAG